ACCAACAAAAAAAACTTTCGTGAGGTTTCTTCATAACTACATTAAAACTTTATTCTTAGTTTAAGACAATCAGTTTATCAGAAAGCATAGAAATAATCTTGCTGTTGTTAAAGTATGTTCATTAGGAGAAGGATAATAGAGAGGGTGGGAGGCATAGGATGGGAAATCATTGCTTTCGGTAATATCAGTAGACGACAGATTCAGTCATTATAAGGCAAAAGTTTATCATTTCAATTTAGGATGATATGTTTGAAAAGGTATACTTAATTTAATAGTATGATATCAAGTCACATTAAGTAAGCCGTTATTTTAATAGAAATCTTTTACCTACATACACACAAATTTTACCTTTTTGTCAACACAAGCAGTGCGTATTGTAAATCACCTGGCATTAACATGAATAATAATTTGCCCGAGGAATGAATGAGATTTTTGTAATGGAAACATTCGTGTTTATGACGATTAGGTTTTTGAAATTTAAGCATGAAATTTTTAATCAAAAATTCTAAGGGGCAAGGCTCAAATAAAAAGAAACTAAATCATAAAAAAATTATAGAAACCCCAAACAAATGATCCCGAATAGCATACGTCGGTTAATCGAAAAGAAAGTAAGTTTCGATTTGAATCCAGCACTATGCCAGAGTCACACCAAGTTTGTGCCGGATTAATAATCGATTAACCGACTTGTGCCATTCGGCTCCATACCACATAACTCGGGCTTAATCTGCTAAAACATTAGATACATTTATATACATAGATTTTTCCCCATCACAGCATGTTTTCTGTCATCTTGTGTTATATATTCTGCCTATTCTTTTTTGAATTATCTAAAATGATAATCGGCAGCTATAAAAATTCCCTTTTGTTACAAACAGAAACTGTCATTTTATGGCAAAAGCGGAAATTTTTCTACCATTTTCATTAATTTACAATTTCCATAATGTCTTATAATTTCTAATAAGCGAGAATATCTGATTATGTGAAGCATTTTTTGTAATGCTTTCTAAAGGAAAATTGAAAATTTTAAGTTTTTTTTATAAAATCATCAATTTTGTCTTAATTTTTTCCGATGAAATTTTCATTAAATTAGCTGTGCTTCTTAATGACTTTAATAAGACTCTATAGATCCTGATGTTCAACAACTGTGTAGCCTACTTTTGAATGTGATTTTGTTATTAAGAAAACATTAAGCTGTTTAAGAAATAATTAGTTGATATTAAATTCGGAGACATAAACTAAGCATCTTTAGTGACAGCATTGTTTTCATTCTTATTTCTTCCTTTTGTTCCTAATTTTACAAATTTTTCGAAATCTTTTAAAGAATTTTCAATGAAAATATTTTACGGTAAAGAAAGAAATTCCAACAATTTTATCGACTGTAAAGTTTAAAATTGAAGCAATTTACATCAAAGATATTTCCTCACTCTTTTCATCTTTTATTCACAATCTTAGTCACTCTTTAAAGATGTTTGATATTTTCATCTTGATAACTTTTCAAAAAGGTCGAATTTCCTTCCTAGAAAATCACTTCCTGTAAGTTTAAATAAGTTATGCAAAGAATTTTTGTGTTCAGCATTTCTAGAAACTAGGTGAAAGATATTTTAGAATTAATTGGTTAAATTCTTAAAAAAAAAGTTTTCGGAAGGTCGAAATAAAGAAAATTATAGAATCTGTTCCAAATTGTCGTATTTGAATCTGCATTATATTGAGGATTTATTTAAAGATTTCTTTGAGTATCGATTGAAATCGAACTTGTTTATGACATCGGAAGTGGATTCTCTGAGACACGGTTTCAGATTGAGTTCATTGCTCAACAATCAGTTCTTCATATTTCAATTAAATACACATCAAACTGAAACAACCTGTTCATCCATAAATGTCATACTTTTCATCTTAATAGAATCATGAAACTAAACTTAATTTGAGAAAGTAATATTAAACGGCAAAGGTAGCAGAGTCTGTCCACAAGTCACAAATTAGTGTGTCAAAGACCTCAAAACTTCACCCAACACATCGAAACTAGAACAGAGATTGAACTTAGGGCCTTAGGGTTAGCCTTAAACCTTTATCTTTCAGGCCACTAATGATATTTCACTGCTTGACTAAGTCTATCCTTAAGATACAATATTTTGGTAATTTTTTTCTTTTGGTATTTTATAATCCTGCAATTGAAATTCAATTTCAAAAATATTTTAAATTTAGAAAAAAATTCCAAAAACCTACTTAAGAATTTGAAGAATTTCTTTAAGCTTGTTCAACAAGAATTTAATCATAATATTTCATATCATACATTTATTCAAGGCAACAATTGTAAACAAGATCCAAATTAAATTTTGTTCATATATTCCTTCCTACATCCTTTTTTTATGTATTGTTGAATATTTCTTTTGTGCATGTCTATAATAATGTCAAGAAAATTAATACATCCTTAAATTTTTACATGCATCATTTCGTTTTCATTTTTTCTCCATAATAAGGATATTAAATTTCATCGCTGAATGCGATGAAGTTGTGCCTTTTTCTGCTACTTATTTTTTATTTGATTTCCTGGAACTTTAGATTCGTGATGGATGTATCTACAAGGGGGTATATCCTAAGAGATTTACTTTGGTATAGGTTAAATCCAGAGATAAGGTTTAGGTTTACCTATAAACATGTAACAATACACTCGACAAAATGTCATTTTTGATTTAATTTTAAACTCAGTTAAACTCAGTCAAGTTAAAAAAAAAGTATGTAGCATATAATTTTGACAGAAATTTCACTCCAAACCCGAAAATCAGTCTTCAAACAAAAATCAACAGAAGCTGATGACAACAGAAAATGTTATTCAAAATAAGCAAGAGGAATTGATTATTGGCATAAAATTGAATCATTTATTGAATCCAACTCATACGTTACAGCTACGAGTCAAAGAACGTTATGAACATACAGCACCATAACATCGATGTGATTTAATAATAAAATAAATTCACAGAATATTGAAGAAGAGCTATATTGAAGGTGAAATGTGCTCTATGACACATAATCGATTATGATGTTACTTACATGATCTTTATTTGATTTCCATCGTCGTGATTCATGTGGTTGTATCCGCAAAATGTGTGCGAGCTTTTGATGTAAAATGCACAATCACATTTTCTCAAATCTATATCCATGCGAGGTAAGCAGTCTTCCTTATTTCTTCAGCAAATGCGATTAATGTTTATCCTAAGAGCTAAAAGCTTTCGTTAAATTGAATTTCTATCGATCTAGTTTCTGTGCCCTTTTTTGATGTGGATTTGACTTACTTTTTTCGATGTGATTTTTGATGTAAGGGGAAATTGAGTTTAAAAGATGTTGAAGTGAATTATTGGCTGTGTTGGGTTTTTGGGAGAGTTTTTAAGCAACTTAAACAATAATTAAAATTAACAACAAATCTCTCAATTTTCTGTGTAATTAAATATTATTTTTTATTTATTATAACTTCACTTTTTATTTAATTTTTATATCAACATTTCAATATTTAATCTCTTATCTGCTTAACAATTGTTTAAATAAGTATCAATTTATTTTATTTCTGCTGTAAATTAGCTCAATAATCATTTTTTAACTTTTATTTACTTACTCCCTGAAATATCTAACAACATCATCGTCAGCATCATTTAAAAAAGTAAATATTTAATTTAACAGAACTTGCAAATGGAAAATATTCGTATTATGTGTGCTAATGCAGAATTTTAATTAATTATCGATAGGGGCGTAGCCAGGAATGCAAAGAGGGGGGGAAAATTTTTTTTTGGTGTGGAAAAATTTAAGGGGCCGGAGGGGGGGGGGGGGGGTATTTTTTTAATTTTTTCATAAAACCCTAGCAAAATAAAGACTATTCTGTTTACGTTGGGGGTTTTAAACCCAAATCCCCCCCCCCCCCCGGTTATCGGCATTTCTTGAAGGGTTTTTCGTTATGGAACAAGGATGATAATTAAAATTGCATTTCTGACACAAACTTTCATTCCACAAAATGCAAAGCAATATAAACTTTGTAAATGCATTTACATTCGCTTTTTTTCTTATTTTTATGGACCAATAATTTTCTCATTTTTAAAGAAAATTTATTGCAGAGTTGTGATCTGTCATCTGTCACCTGTTAAAGGCAGTACGTGTGACAACCAATATTTTTTTACTTGTCACATGCAATAATATATTATATCTGTGGGCAGATTTGACAGATCTGTACCCGTTACAGAAAAAAAATGTTGCCTGTCACAGTCACTTCCTATAAACAGACAATATCTTTGACACATCTGTAGCCTGTGCCTGTGACAGGTGACCTGTATCGCAACTCTGATTTTATTGAAAAAGCTCATGCAATTCCTTTATTGAGATCTTTTTAACATCGTCAGCTTTATGCAAATTGAAGCCATTTGAACTTTACTGTATGCAATTGTATTCAGAAAATTCTGCATAAAATAAGTTTTTCTGCTTCATTTCAAGCACATTTTCTATGAAATTATGATGTAATAGATTGGTTTTTCAGCTATTGGTTGAAAGATATCTGAAGATTGAGGAAATATTTCTAGTTACGCTATAGGATGTGTAGGATCCGAGTAGCACAAGTCGGATAATTGAGACGAAATTCTACGCTAGCTACTGCGACTTATGGGCACCTTTTTGTTGTGAGAAATTTGCCCTCAAGTCGTCACGGCATCGTTCGGATTATTTGACTTGTGCTACTCGGGGGAGTTAAGTCATAGAAAAATGCGCTTTAAAGAAATTAACAAAAATTCGTCTCAAACTCTTTAATAAAATTGTTGTTTCCAATTATATTCCACAACATAAAAGCTGTTCTGTTTTCAAAGCTTCATTCTGCTTCATTCAAATAAAAAAAATAGTCAATGAAAGAAAAATTTACATAATTTGATTCCATAAGCTCCAATTGAACACGAAAAATGCATAATCGGATGACAATAAAAATAAATTATTGAGTAACAAAATTAAGCTCATTTGGAATATTGTTTATGTCACACAGATGCAACAGCTTCAATAAATGTCTCACTATCTCTTCTTTTTACACAAATTCGTCTCATTTCATGTCTCTCGCCATCGGAATAATCCTCATTATCTGTCGTGTCATTAACATCGTCATCGTCGTCATCCTCATTATCCGATAATGGTGGAAGTCGTTTGCGACAGCAACTGTCACCGTCAATCAAATAACTTTCATTTTTATTTGCATCAATATTAAGAATCTCATTATCTTCATCGCAGTACGAATATGTTGTTGATGTTTTCGCATCGTACGAGCTATGTCAAAGTTCAATAATTGTCTCATTCAATTTCCACGAAATGCCGGAACGTAACATGTGATAAAATTTCATAACAACCCATATCACTAGGGTCTATAGCAGCAAGAGATGCGGGTTGATGTTCGTAAAATTTAAGTATGATAGGAAATAATAAGAAGAGAGAAAGAGAGATAAGGAAGAAAATTAGAGTTGTAGGGCAAAACATATCGATATTCACGTCATAACAATTTTTTTATGTTCAAGGATTGCAATCGTTAGGCGTAAATGCTGAGTATTTTCTTGTTTAGTATTTTTGTGTTGGCGTGGATTGGCATCTTGGGGACAATTTTTTGAATAATTGAATTTTAGATTTTCTGGATGTTTTTAAGCTTATTTTTATGATTTTTTATGTTTCTGGTTTTTTGAAGTTTGATAAAAAATATTATTCATTAACGGTTTTTTGAAATTTAAAATAAAATTTTAGACACTGAAATTTAAATTGTCAAAAACCGTTATTGAACTTTTCAACCTTTAGTTTAGTCTAATATTGATTCAATAAGGCTCTTTAAGTTCAATTCAAATGACCCAACCATGAAAATCAATATCAATATCCATTAAATTCAATAAATTGTCCTTTCCATATGCCTCGGAATATTTTCTTTCAACACATCCTCAAAAATACAAGAAATCGATTTAAGCTATCCCAAACAACATGAAAACTTGAAATTTGCAATAATCTTAAGTAAGCATCATTTGACGATGAAAATTTCACATTTTTCTTTCACAAAAAGATTCTCAAATTCCATGGGATTAATATTTATTTATTATTTATATTTTAATGGAAATAAGTGAGGGAATTGCGGAATAACAAGGAAAATGTGTCGAGGACGTTTAAAAATGGATAAGAAGAAGATAAAAAATTTAGAGATAAGCTCGTGTCTTTTCATAGAGAAACGGCAAAGTTTTGTGTTATCAGAAAAAGAAAAATGTTATGCTTTAAGCATTAAATGTTGCTGATTCTATGGCATATACTAAGAAGAAAAGAGTGAATTTTTCTAAAGAATTACAATCTTTTGAACAAAAAGTTATATTGTGAATAAATATGAGCGAGATTCCCGAGCAACACATGATAAATTTGGAATTTTTTTGTTAGAATTTAGTAAATTTGACGTTATTTGGGTTCTTTAATGACAAAATTTAAAATTTTTCAAACTTTTTACGACCGTTAATTTTCAAATATTTCATAAGGGGCCGTTCACTTATTACGTTCGCATTTTAAGGGGGAGGGGGGAGTTTAAAAATTGTAACAAAATGTAAAAAAACGAAAAAAATTTGTTTACAAATTCACACCAAAAACATTTTTAAAATTTTCCACCTTTTTATCAAAATAAAATAAATTATGAACGAACCAGGGGGGGGGGGGGGGGTTGTGAGTTGTAACATAAGGTGGGAAGGGGGTGAAGTGAAAAAAGTCGTTTTTTTGCGTAACGTAATAAGTGAACGGCCCCTAACCGATATTTTTCAAATATTTTAAGACCGTTATTTTTTAAATTTTTATTTTTTTCATCAATTTTAAAATTTCAACATATGTTACTCGGGAATGAAAACAAAAGTTCCATATTTTAACTGTTATATCTTACATTCAATATAAGTCTTATGAGAAACGCCATTAGCTCACTTTTGGCAAAAACGTCAAAATGCTGTAAAGAAATATAAATAAAAGAAAAATCAGAATTGAAAAAAGAAATGTTCATTGTAATAAAAATTAATGGACATTGTTATTCTTCCGTCCATCCATAGAAATAGTGTAATGATTATAAAAAATAAGAGTAACAATAAATAGTTTTATGATGCTTAAATATCCGTAAAGTGATGAGAATTAACTTTTTTATATGCTTTTCGTCGTATTTATATGTCCTGACATTAGACATTTTAACATTCACTCAAGCATGAATGCGCATTTCATTACCCCAAATATTTGATCCTTTAGCACGTTTGCGTACACAAGACCTAACGCTTCAAATGACATGAATGTTAACATTCCAATTACAAATGGCACCACAAGACCAGCATTCTCCTGTGAATGAATGAATGAAGAGAAAAGAAAAAGAATGGAAAAAAGTTTCATTAAAATATTCATTTAATGTGATGCAAAAAAGGTTTTTAAAATGAAATGTCACTGATTTGAGGTTGTGTAGAGCGCATACTATTAAATAGCACGAAGTTGACTTTAAATAACCAGAAAAGACATGAAACTGGCTTCAAACAGTTTTAATGACTTGAAGTCAGTTTTAAATAATTTGAAGTTGACTTCAAATAACCAAAAATGGAATGAAGTTGGAATGATTTGAAGTTGGCTTGAAATGCTTGAAATTGAAAAAAATTTGATTTTTGAATTAAATTTAAAATAGTTTTACTTCAATTGAAGCAGCTTTGACTAAATGGGAGCCATAAATCTAAAGCCATACTTCAAATTCCGATCAATCAAACTTCTGCAATTCGATATGAATTCGATATAAATCACAATTTCTAAAATTTACACCAATCATGTCCAAATCGACTAGCAATCCACCAAAATCATCCCAAAAACAAAGCTATACACAGTTCCACAAAGAAAGAAAAGCTTAAATAAGCTCCGACTTACAGTATATGTGCCAATTGCTAACAACACGCTTAGCACCATCATGGAAAATTGTGTAAAGATGATTGCATAATAAGCAATTTGCACTCCTGCCCCAGACCAATGTAGAATATGTACAAAATACATAAAAAGCAGTCAAGATGTGTTTTTTTCCACGAAGCACCATCAGCATCAACATTATCATATGATGTTGTAGCATATATATTTTTGTAAAAGGAAGATAAAATAGAGTCGATAAGGAAAATGAAATTCAACAGATATCATCAAGAAATTAGCTTAGAAAAAAAAGATCAAGAAGAAATGTCAAAATTGGAAATACTTACCGTAATATACATCGCCTAAGCTTTGAAATTTCTTCATGTTAACACTGATTTGCCATGAATACAGAAGCACAACAAGTATCGAAATGTTCTGCAAATAAGAAGAAATGATGACATTTTTGAGTTAGGTACAGGAGCAAGGGGGGAACAACATGATGAAAAATTCTCATCAATTTCTTAAAACGATGAGATCTTTCACAGATTTTTCAACATTTCTTTAAGTTTGGGAGATAAATTTGTGGAATTTTTTAACATCATGTTGTGTTCCCCTTGGTTAGGCACTTTCATGAGATGCTGAGAGAATTCAATTTTTATGCTACGTAACAAGGCAATTTACGGATTCTCTGAATTTCATTGAATCAGAGTTGTTGGGTGGAGACTTTTTTAGATGTTGACAGGTGAGATTTTTTGAGAAACGAGATATTTATTTCTTATGACACTTGGTGATGGAAATAACACAATTATCTCGTTTGCCAAACATTTGTTGGTGTGATTTTCTGAGAAAATTTTGATGTTGTAGAGAAGACATTTAATTTGAAATGCTTTAATTTCGAGTTTGAAGTCCTATGACGGAGACATATTATTCGGTTTCACAATTTTAACTTGATTCAATGCACCTCGAGATTCTTATAGATTAATTCGCATATTTTGTAATGCTTTAAATTGGCATTTTTGCCTCCACTTAGTGTTCATTACTTATTTTTAAGGAGAATTAACAAAACTTGATGCTTTCTTTCCCAAAAGCGTTACGTAATGAGTGAATGACCCCTTAGAAAAATAATTTTAACCCCCCCCCCCCTCACTTCTTCACCCACATTTCCTGTCAAAAGTGTTTTTAAATTTTTAAAAGTTTCCGATGAGTGTCAGTGCTTTCTCAAAAGATAACAACTCCAAAAACCAACAAAAAAATATGTTTTTTTTCCCAAACACAACAGTGTCGTGCATTATCTGTTCACATATCATAACTTCACCGAGAATAATTGAGAAAGCACATAAAATATTTCAATCAAAAGAAAATTTATCACTTTTTGGTACATTGAGAATAATTTTAAATTGAATGGCGTCATTTTCTCATGAGAAAGCACATATGTGAGCATTTCCGGTTCTATTCACGTCACATATCGCTTATACTCGCTCCCAAAACAGATTTATTAAGCATAATGTATATTATGATATATGAATAGCATTGAATTTTGATGACAAAAATACGAGTGTGCCTAGATAAAAAGCATTTACCTGTATCAGGACTCTTAAGATGGGAATATTTAAATTTAAAGGATCTTTATTCTTGATTTTAGGAGTAAATGGATGTGCATAATGAGTTTATGCTTATTTTTGGAATCAAGACGTGGGATACTTAGGGGAGTTTTTAAATAATTTGAGCTTAAAGTTCAGCGTTTTAATTCAATTAGAAATCAAAAGCTAGTCAATTTTGGACCAGGAAAAAGTTTCAATGTCTAGGCACACTGTTTCAAATTGATGACAATAGAGCAGTGTTTCTCAAACTTTTTAAGGCTGCAGAGCAGTAAAGGAGCAGTTAATTATCCGTTCATGTTTCCATTCAACCACTATTGACACATCTAGAGCTTTTTTGTGGAACAGTTAAGAAACACTGCAATAGAGGAAATCTTCATGAAGTAGTTCAAGACTCAGACTTTTTGCCAAGGCCAGAATTTGTATCAATCCTGTCAAAGAGGAGGAGGGGGATGCTTTAAGGATACTTCAACTGTATACAAAACTATGTTACAACTAGTTCAGCCTGTTGAATATGAATATTCGGTCTCTTTCCTCCTATTTTATACAAAAAAGTTCGTTTGTATTGAAATGTCACACAGTGTCAGGGGCTCAAACTTTGATGTTTTCTAAAAGACGAATATAATTTATGAACAATCCTTAGGGAAACTGACGTAATTTAAGTATAAAACAATTTTCTGGTAGCACAATTCACTTCCTTCCTTAAAATCTTCAACCCCTTGATTTCAATATCATCAACCTTAATGTTGACAGTTTAACAAGAATCTACTTGTTGTCGAAGACTTATTATGATAAGTCGGTAACATAAAAGGTAAAAGGAAACTTCCAACAACTATCCCTTCCGCAATAACCTTTTTGGAATGTGATGCATTATTTGATTTTATGTTCTTTGTATAATGGGTAACCATTATTTGTGTTTGCCATACAATTTGTGCATGTTGAAAATAAATTGGATTATTTTATACTCACCAATGAATAAATTGCACTTATTAGAGTCCAGCTTTTAACTGTAAAAGTTCTCGTACATTTACTCTTTCCTTTTGGACTATAATAATGATACACTGTTGATTTCATTTCACTCCTTTCTTTATTTCATTAAGGATTTTTATTATATTTTTTGCTGGAACTTTGCCTTCACTCGTTTTAATATAATTTACAGAGTTTTCTCAAGCACGTTCATTCTGTATACCATCATGTATTATTTTTGAATGTTGAAAAAAAAACTTTTACTTCCTCTTTCCTTTCAACGTTTTGTTTCTATCTGTACACATATAAAAAATAGTAAAGGAAAAATAAATTATTTCAAATGTTTGAGGTTAATTGCAGTGGAAAATAAATTTTCTTCTTCTTCCTTTTTTTTTCTTTTGAATAATTTCACATAAATCTTAAAGGCTCAACATCCCTTATTCATTTACTTCATCTTCATCTTCTTCTTTGCTTTTATGTTCGGAGCATTAATTTTAAGGAAAAATTAACATCTGTAGACAGTCGTTGTTCTTTCCTGGAAGGTGTTAAATTTTTTTTAATTCTTTTTTTCTCATGATTTATTGCAGTTTGTCATGTTCATATTTCAAAGTTTACATAGACTTGTAGCTTGTAATTAGGTTACGGAAAGAGAATTTAATTTAGAATTTAAATAGAAGCTCATTTTTTAGTTGATAACAGTGTTGCATTCTGGCCATTTCTCTGAATCAGATAAATTCTGAGACAGAAAATTTCTTCATAAAGATCGATATTACATGTAGATAGAAAATCTAATCTTCACAAAGATTATTTCTAGATATAGATTCTGTCTACATGTAGATTTAATGTAGATGTCTACAATTCTACATTCTTCTCTGATGTAGACCTGGAAAAAATGTAGAATAGTAGACATCTACATTAAATCTACATGTAGACAGAATCTTTATGTAGAAATAATCTTTGTGTAGATTAGATTTTCTATCTACATGTAATATCGATCTTTATGAAGAAAGTTTCTTAGCTAGACAAAAACTATTGAAGAATCTACATTCTTCATCTAGTGTAGACATCTACATTTGCAACACTGGTTGATACTTGAAAGATTTGGTCTGAAGCAGGGTCTGAAAGGGAAACTATAAAACTGAGGGGTAACAACATGATGGCAAATTGGCGAATAACCAGAGAACAGATTGATAAATGTCGCACTCTTGCACTTCAATAACAATGTTCCTTTGAATTTCTTATAAGAATTCATGCCTTGCTTTGTCATTGGCTCAGTTCATTGAATTAAACAAGGCGTGGAAACTCAGGATTAATTCAAAAAATCGGAAAAATCCTTGAAATTATTCATAAAATGCATCAGGGATTTAAAAGAGATTTCACAATTATCATTTTTAGGGGTTATTCACTTCTTACCCCCAACATTTAGGGGGGGGGGGGGGGGTGTAGCAGTTTCGGAGGATTGAGAAGATTTGAATCAATAACTCCGAAACTGAATACAAAAATAATAAAAAATATAAATATAATTTGTCACGTGGTTGTCACGCGTTTGGTTCACTTTATATTTCAGTGATTTTACATCACTAAATGTACTTTATTTTATTCTATTTGACTATTTTTGTGTGCACTAATGACTTATTTATTAAATGACACTAATTTTAACAATATTAACTAGATATAAGCTATTGATTTTGACAAATAATTGAACGACAAAAATTATTGCTTGGATTGGACGTCATAAGGGGGATTATCTGTGACAGTTTTGTGACAAAGGGGAGGTGGAGGGAAAATTAGATTATTTTGATGAACGTCATAAGTGATCGGCCCTTATTGGCTCAGTGAGTTTTTTTGAATTTTTGGGATTTTTCAAGAGGGACCGTTCACTTACGACGTCCAGGGGGGGGGGGGGGTGGTCAGCAAGAAAAGAACAATAGAAATTCCGGAATTCTATTGTTCTGATTTATAAAAATTACGGACGTCATAAGTGAACGACCCCGGATTAATCTTGAGTTTCAACGCTTTGGCATTAAAATAACTCGGACCATGCAACTGACTCAAACTTCAATGAAACGCAAACTATAGAAGATACAAAAATTCCCTTTAATCCACAAACTTCATCATCTTTTAAAGCAAGAAACCATAAAACTTTAATTCTGTAAGTTTCTCATTCTATTATTTATTCATTCAGCAGTTCTCTCATAGAAGTTTAAAGTAAAATTCAGCATGTGCAGACACTTTCGCTAACACTCTACAAATTCATTCTAGCTCTATCTATAGTTTTGTGTACACATGAAATTCACTACCAATAATCTATTCTTTAAATATTTTCTTCAAGTATATTATTCTCTCATTTCTTATCGATTTCGAATGACATGGCAAAAAATTCTTCCTTTTTTTGTTGAAATATAGCTCTATGTTGTTCTAACAATGCTCGAGAAAGAAAGATAAAGGAGGTCAAAGATCCTCATAATCCATGTTTTCCGTTTCCATTGTTTTTATCGAATTTTTTTCGGTACCTTTTTCTTGTGATGAAAAATTTAATATTTTTCTTTGTTTTTGTAAACAACTTTTTGTTGTCTTTCTTGTATTTCTCATCTGAGACGAGAACATGTGAGACAACAAAGACATAAAAGTTATTGCTATCATATTCAAATTTTGGCAATGTCATACATTTGGTATGAGAAATTGTAGAATCAATCAAGCGACCAACCAAATCGAGACGTGAAAACTACATTGCTGTAGATATAACAGCAATGGAACCGAAAAAACTAATGATATTGAGATAACACATCAATATAAATTCCATATGGAAATTCCATCATTTGTCATGCCTTTGTAAACATCTGAACTTTTATTTGAAGAATAATTTTGGCTTCTCAAATATTCATGATGATTTCTGAGCTTATTAAGTTGCTCTCTTCTTCTGATGCGGTTAGTTTGGAATTTCTTGGAATATTTTATTGGATGATTTAAATTCTGGTTTGAGGAATTTCTTTGATATTGAAATTTTTTTTTCATTCAGGATTCTGCCAATATTGAATTAAGTTTGGGTTATGAAATATTCATAATTGGGGATTAAGAATACTAATTTGGGATAGGATTTGAAAGGGTTTTTGTTTTTGATGTTAAGATTTTAAAGAGTAGTGGCTTGATCAGTTCTAAATATATCAAGAACAACCTTTATTGCTGAAATCGTCTTTGACAATGGAATAAGGAATTGTTTTGAAAGAGGGTCATAGAAAGGAATGAAACTCGAGCTACACAAAGAAGCAGACGGCTGATATATACACAGAATCCTTGTTTTGAAAAAATAATTTGAATGTAATTTTTAAATTTAAGAACAAAATTTGTCTAAATTAGAACATTAATATTCAGTTCTTACCCGAGTAGCACCAACAACAACAACAACAACTGGGTTTACGTCGACATCAAGGCACCATCAAGGAGAAAAAAGCACGTCACACCGCAATTTTACGTCTACACGCTCGATTTCGCCCCATTCGAACAATCAAATAATGGGCTATTTGATGATTCTACTTGATGGTGCCTTGACGTCGACGTAAAACCAGTTGTTGTTGTTAGTGCTACTTGGGTTAAACAACAATTTACACAAAGCTTTTAAATTCCAATATTCAATTTTATTTTAAAAGCAAAACCAACAAAACTAAATAAAGGATCCAAAAATTCATAACAAAGGAGAAACACTTTTCATCCACAAAATAAATAAAAGTCATGATACATGTCATTGTTCAGCAAATTCTATTACAGAATAATAATGTACATTGGATTGAAAAGATGAAGCAATTTTTTTGGCTAGTATTAAACATTCTTCCATAGTCCTTAAAAAGTTTGTTTATAAATCACTCGAATTTGATGCCAAATCCCCACAAATTCTTCATAAGGACATGCCTTTTCATTCCCATGCACTTAGGGGCCGTTCACTTATTACGTTACGCAAAAAAACAAATTTTTCACCCCCACTCCCCTCCCCCCTTGTTACCATATTTTACAACTCACAACCCCCCCCCCCCCCCCCCTCCCCCCTGAACGTCCGGATTTTATTTTATTTTGATAATTTTTCATAAATCAATAAAAAGGTGGAAAATTTAAAAAAATGTTTTTGGTGTGAATTTGTAAACGTTACATACTTCTTGACACCCCCCCCCCCTATGTTACAACGAACGTAATAAGTGAACGGCCCCTTAAGTAAGGAAAAAAAATCACAGAAAATTCCAATTTACGTATGATTTGTATTTTTTATGTATTTCAAATATTTCATTCAACTTAAGTGCTCTCGTGCCTACTCATTTAATACGAAATACTCCTATAAAGCATATATTGAGCCTTATTTTATGTAAAAATCTTTCATTTTTCTTCTCCTTCTTCGGCATCTTGTAAATCATTTTGTAAATTATAAGGCAAAGAACAAAAGAAATTGAGGAGGATGAAAAAAAGGGAAAGAAGGACAAGGAGGTAAATGGAGATGAATGAAACAAAATCCCAATAATGATCTTCCTTTTTTTTGCTACTCAATACCCTTACATATTCTCTTTCCTCTCTATTCACATTCTTTGTGTATTTTTCATGTCTTACAATGAAAGCTTAAAGGAAACTTTTTTTTGTATGCACAACTGAACTGGTTTTATTTCTGCCTCTCATTTTTAGGCTCATGTAGAAAATTTGATGTTGATGATGATGATGTGTAGGAATATATTATATGAAGTATATGAGTGAATTTTAAAGATTGAAATGATGAGCACGTCTTTTGGTTGCTTAGTAGACGCATTTGATTAGGACTGACTCTGGTAAGATGACTGATGGTGAAAGAGAAGGTTGATGAAAAATATCTGATTCATTTGAAGAATTTGGCTATTTTCGTCAATAAATTTCAAGTGGACGAAAGGAGAACTGGTGTTGTTTCGTTACTAAATTCATTCGTCCTTATAATGGCGATGATATTGCGTAGATGGCTTCATTATAACAAATAAACGAACAAATTTGGTGACAATTCAATCCTAAGCTAGATTTACGGAGATTTGAAGCTCGTTTCCTGACCTAATTTTAGTCTTTTTTTGTGACACCTGAATCCATAACCTTAAAAGTTCTTTCATCTTTAGTCCTTGTAATTAACTTGGATACCAGATTACTCTTATCATGCAGCTTGTGATCTCTAGATATTCTCAGTATGCCAATTAAAACTATTCTGTCTAAAAACCCGTCCTGCTAATCAAAATCTAAGAATCACCAATCAAGATCTTACTTAACTTCCAAAATTAAGTTCTATTCGTTTTCCGATAA